CGGCCAATGGGTCTCCATCTGGACATGCCCAGGGCTAGGAGGCTCACTATCTCTCAAAGCACACCCTTCCATCACCAGCTGGAGCTCATATTAGAATGTTCTTCCTTACGCTGAACTGCAGTCAGCCTCCTGGAACTGCCATTCTCTTCCCTGGAGATTCTGTCATCATTCACTCATCCATCCATCCGTCCACCCATCCATCCATCCGTCCATCCATCCATCCATCCATCCATCCATCCGTCCATCCATTCGTTTGATAATTCAGTAAATATCAGCTGCCACTTTTTACATGTCAGGCACTGTGCCGGGGGCTAAGGATATATTGGGGGGCACATTCAGACAGGGGCTCTGCCTCCGAGAGCCCACAGTCTGGTTACCGAGGAAGTGAACACCACAGTATCCTGCCTGATTAGGGTTAAGAAGAAAATGTAGGATGCTCTGAGAACATACAACCTGGGAGCCACACCCGTCTGAAAGGATCAGGAAAGGCTTCCCTAAAGAAGTGACTCTGTTTTCTGGAAAACAAAGGATGGCCTGGAGCTCACGGGAGTGAAGCTGCCTCATTTTCTACCCTGGTACATCCTCTCTCCTCTGGACTCAACACCCTTGTGTTCCTCCTGGGGCCCTCCTTCTACAGGTGCCTGTGTGATGCTCAAAGGGGAGCAAGGTACCCCCACATGCAGTATGACTTCCTTTCCAATGAATGCCAAACCAGCATCAGCATTTTGGGCAGCCCCATCATTTTACTGATGCTGAAATCCTGGCATTGTGTTTATATTTTCTATTAGACAAAAAAAAAAAAATCTCAACCCCCAAAAATATGTAAGAAAAAGCATGCAGTTAGGCAAGAGTCCCTCACAGTGACCCCAGGCTGGGTCTTGGGGATCGCTGCTCTCCTTCCTGAGGGAATTGCTTAAAAAAAAAACAAAACTCCTGAATGTTGATCTCTTCCAGAACTTCACTGGCTGTCACTGTCACGCGCAATTCGTATATTCTGTGTATTCTTTTTGCATTTTTTAATGATTTTTAAGTTTTTTTTTTCCCCGGACTCCAAAGAAAACAAAAGATCTTCTTCTGGGAACCCCCCCCCCACCCATCCCCTGCACTTGCCCATCATAATGCTGAATCATTTATTTCATAATAAGACATGTCTCTTACTATGTGCCAGAGGCTTCTAAGCATTTTATATGTATTAACTCTCTGAGTCTCCTAACAACCCTACGTGATCGGTGGTATCATCGTCCGCATTTTACAGACCAGAAAACAGAGGCAGAAGTAGAGCTACATGCCCGGCGTGGGGGCATGCTCTTGGCCACCATGCTCTGCTGCCCCTCACTGTCCACATCGTCCTCACCTGCCCCCGCATCCCTCTGTGCAGGGCCACGCCTGATCGTCCTGCCATCCTCAGAGCCCAGCCAGTCCTGGGAGCTTTGTCCAGGCTGTCAAACAAAACCGGATCAACAGTTCTGCCCAATCACCACAAAAGTTTCCATGCTGTGCACCTGGCTCTCTTCTCTGTTGCTCTCTGCTAGTTCCCAAGACATCCCTGGTGGTTTCTCAGGAGTTCTGGCTGCACTTCCAGACTGTGGGCCCCCTGAGTGCCCAAACTGTTGCATCTTTATGTCCTGCAGCCTTTGCCCCTTCCCTCATCCCCCTCTGTTGCTCTCTGCCCTCTTCACACACACACACACACACACACACACACACACACACACACACACACACTCACACACACTCACACGGACCCATCTCTTTTATCGACCTTCACTTACTCACAGGTGGGGACAGCGTCTTTCGCAAACCCATCGTCATGTTCCAGACCTTTATATCTAGAGCCAGTACAACCATCACCCCTAGCCTGGTCTTATGTAAGCAGCTCACCTCTGCCCCTTTACTTCCAGTCCCTTAAGGGACAATAAGCGTAGTGCTGTGAGCAGCCCATTTCCATGGGTGGGATGCTGCTAGACAGAGATGTAATGTATCATATACATGGATATATCTCATTCTATGAAAAAAGTATTCTGTAAAAATCTGATCTTATAAAAGGAGTAAATTGGGGGTGATTATTCACAAGCATTAAAAAAAAGAATCACTGTGACAAATAATTTTGACAACACTTCTAACGTACGTGCATCCCGAAGTCACTCAATAAACACAGTTATTTTTCTTATTGGCGTTGTTCCCATAAGTTTGTGTTAAAAACACTTCCCTGGGCTTCAGACAGAACAGTAATAACAACAAAATCCTACCACTGGTAGGTAAGCCACTGCAGTCTTTTAAGGGACTAGAAACAGACCAGAAACAGGACCCTGGTAATTCACCAGATGAACCAGCTATGCAATGGGCTTGCGTGTCACTGCACCCACTGGGCTGGCACGAGATATCCAGGATGCTGTTGCTCCTTCCAGAAAAAAAAAAATCAATCTCTTTACTTAGCAAATAGAGGAGCTGAATTAATAATCCATCATTTCCACTAAAAATTTTAATAGGGCAATATTTTTTGTTCCAAAGGAAGTTTTCACTTTCTCATACCCAGTAGGTGGAACAGAATGTTCTCTGCTCAAAGCAATGCCTCACAGCCCATACCAAGACCCAAAAATTTCTCTGGAAAATGTTAGTGCCCCGAATTCCACAGGCTGGGTCTCAGAGCCCCAGACTTCTAAGGCTGTCACAGAAGCCAGGGCAGAGCTAAGTCAAACCTGTCTTCCCGGCTATGCTTCCAGGGAAAACCTCAGCCCTGGCTGGGGCTGGGGCTGGGGCACTGCCTTTGGCACCCCAACATTCTTTCCTTAGCCTCTGGCCTCTTCAGTGAACTGCAGCTCATTTACAGGGATCGTAGTGCTTTGCAAACTGTGTTCACTTGATGCGGCTCTCCCACCTCTTCCCTAAAAAGTGACCGGGGTTCTCATTTTACTGATGAGGGAGCAGGGACTCTGAAGGTGAAGGTCCTCAAGCTGGAACATGGAGCCAAACCTTCCAGGGCCAGCACTATTTCCATTATCCACATACCTCATTTGAATGGTTATGTTATCATGATTGTTTAAGCCACCACCATTTACTGAACATCTACTATGTGCTCTCTCTCTATCGCCACATTCATTCTATCACTACTTGGTGTCCAATAGACATCTCAAAAGTAACATGCCCACGAGAGGAAACTTGATTCTGCATCCCCACCCCTGCTCCTCCCTCTGTCTTCCTAATCTTGGGAAATGGCACCACCATTCACCCACTGACTCAGATCCCAATGCTTGGAGTCCTCCTGGAAAGAGGGAGAGAGAGGAGGGAGAGAGAGAGGAAGAGCAGGGGAGGGCGGGGTGGGGAAGGGAAGGGGGCAAGGACTGAAGGAGAAGGGAATGGGGAGGAGTGAGGGAGAAAGGAATGAATGGAGGAGGAGGGAGGAAGAAGGGAGGAGGAGGGAGGAAGTGAGGGAGGGACAAAGAAGAGTTCCTTCCACTATAGGAAAGCATAGGTCAAAAGCCCGTGTGTGTAATATTTTTTAGCCTGTGTAAATCAATATCCTCAAAACATTTCATGCCTATTTGTTTGTATGGGTGTTTGATACGGGGCCGGATTCCCCGCCATTCATGAACCTCCCTAAAACAACGACTTTCAGAACAGGAATTTGGGCCAGCCTGGAGTTGTGTCCAGTTTTTCCAAAGGCAAGATGAACTAGACACAGTCCCTGAGCCTAAGAAGCCTAAAATCTCATCCGGATGACCAGGCTCCTATCCAACTAGTCATGATACAAGGTGGGAGTGGACAAGGAGAGAAACACTCTCCACAGAGAGAGACATGGTAGCCAGTGGGGGTGAGGAGTAGGTCCTGCCAGGCGGGGTAGGGAAGATGGCCCCATGCCAGACCTTTGAAGGGATGTGGGTGGGCACCCAGCCCGCACCCAGCCTGCACCCAGCCAGCAGTCAGGCTCCCTTGGCTGAAACTCAGAGGGTGGGCAGATTGAGTCACGTGCCCAAGGTCATGCAAGGACAAGGAAAGCTACCCTCTAAGGGAGAGTTAAATTCAGACCTCAAGAGAATTCAGGTAGAGAGGTGCCATGTGCCTGGTCCGCAGGGAGGGAGATGTACCTCTCTGAGACAGCTGCTTTCTCCACCGCGCACTGCCAACTCCCTCCTCTCCTTGACTCCACCATGTCTGTCTCCCTTTCAAGAGCGGAAGCTCATGCAGGAGGAGAACCTTCCATCTTGACAACATTTCAGTCTGTGGGAGTAGGAAGCAGTCCCCACCTTCCACCGCCCCAGTGTTGATCCACTTCTGCATGACTCCATTGGTCCCAACTGCATGCTCTTGTGTCCTCTAAGCATCTACTCTACGGCCAGACCCCGAGGTGCCTCTAGGACTAAGAGAGGAGCATCACAGAGCTCCCCTCGGGGTGGTGGGGGGAGGGGACAAAAGTATCAACAAGAACGCTGTCTACCCAGGGGGGCACGGTGGGGTGGAGTGTGGTCAGCACCACAGAGAGCAAGGGAAATCAGAAAAGCATCATGGGTTGGGGATGGCGGGGGGTTGGGGGGCGGAAGGAATGAGGCCTGAGCCCTGTCTTGGAAAGCAGGGCAGCGGGAAGACACCGCCGGATGGAACAGACTATGCGAAGGCATGGAGATAGGAAACTATCTTTCGATGGGAACTAAGAGCCTTTCAGACTGGAGCACAGAACGGGGGCCAAGTGGGGGACAAAACTAGAGGCCCTCTGGGGACTGATCTTAGAAGGCCAGGAACGCCAAGGAAAGGGAGTGTGGCCTCCCTCGGGGGGGTCGGTGGAACCGCTGCAGGACTTGCAGCCAAGGGGAGATGCGAACAGGTTTGTGCAGCTATAGCCCTCAGGATGGAATGTGTGCCAAGAGCCCGAGGGCAGAGAGACGAGGCTACTGCACCAGACCAGGCTCAACAAAGGAACCGAGAGAAGGAAGAGAGGGGGTGAGAGCCAGAAACGCTGTCGGGGAGACGGAGGCTGGTGCGGCGGCGGCGGCCGGGAGACTCACCGCGGAGCCAGCGCGCGCCGGCGTGCGTGTCCTTGGGGCGGATGAGGCGGCGGTGCGCGGAGCTGCGGCCCATGTACCACAGCATCCAGAGCAGCTGCAGCAGCATGAGCGCCGTGAGGAAGCAGAGCAGGTCGCTCTTGCCCACCGCCGAGGCGTGCACGGCCCAGGCCAGCAGGAGCAGAAGCCCCGCCACGAACACAACCAGCCCGTACTGGCTGCTCAGCGCCTCCGCCAGCTTCTGCGGGACGCTGGCGCAGACGGCGCCCCGCCGAGGGGCCGGGGACGCCGCGGACGCCGCGGACCCCGCGGACCCCGCGGCCGGGAGGCGGGGCGATGGGCAGGCCGGGGGTCCGGCCGACACCCTGCCCGGGGCGCTCCGAGCCGCCCCCTGGCCCTCGGGCATCGTGGAGGGGCCCTCACCGGGTCTGGTTCCGGGAGCGGCTACGGGCCCGGACCCCTGCCCTCCACCCCTTGGCCTGACGCTCTCTGCCAAGCGGCCCCCCTGTCCCGATCCCGTCCGACGCCTGCCCTTCCCGCTTCTGACCCTGTGCCCCCGGCCAAGGTGCCCACAGGTCCGCTTACCACCGACCCCCACCCCGCTGGCCCGCGCCGACCCCGGCTTCTTCCTTGCGCTCCGGCGTGCGCACTGCCCACTTCCCCGGACTCCGCAAAGCCCGGGGCAGCCCTCCCGCCTGCTCCGCGACCCACGCCGACCGCTCCCCGCCCCTGACGCCTGGGACCCGGGCCAGCCCTCCCGCGACGTCCGCGAGCCCTCCTGTCCGCTGCCCGCGCCCGCCCCCGGCTGCGCGGAAGCTGGTTGGCGACAGGTGCCTCCTGCCGGCTCCCGGGGTGGCGGTGAGGGGCGAGGGGTCACCCTGAGCCCGCCGGCGGGAGTCGGCGCGGGGGGCGTGGCTGCGGTCCAGCAGGGCGCTGGGCGGTCAGCAGGTGCCGGCGCTGCTCAGGCTGTCCCAGAGCCGCTGAGTCGCGGACCGCAGAGGTCTAGGTGAGCCTGAAAGTGTCCCTGTGCCTGAGTCCTGTCGGGCTGGCTGGCCTCCACCCTGCCTATTTCTGCGGTATGTTTTCTCTGTGCGGGTCTCTCTGGGTCTGGCCATCTATCTTTGGGGTGTGTCTGCTTGGGGCGGGGAGGGAAAGGTGTCACAGCGCTTGTCCCTAGATCTATGAATAGAGGGACGGGGTGTCTTTTTGTTTGTGTCTGTATTTGTCCGTCTGGTGTACCTGTGTGTCTGCCAGGAGATGCCCAGACGGGGACAAGACAGGGGCTACTTCCCAAGAAAAGAGATCCTCTCTGTCCCTCTTCGGAGAGAACGGGAAGCTGCTTCTGCACCCAGCGCCGCTGGGAGTGGGGGCTGCCAGGTACAACCCCAATTGTGGACACCAGAGCGTCTCCCTCAGCAGCACCCTCCCCCCCAGCCGATCTGAAGTCCAAGCCGAAGCTGAACGTGTCTGCCAGGGTGTCCCGCTCAGATGCTGCTGAAGAGGAGATTCCAGCTGCCCTCCCCCACCCCCGCCCAGGTTCCTGCAAAAGAGCCTCCTAAGAGCAGAGAGCAAGGAGGGAGCAGGGAGTCGGGAGGGAGCTACTTGTGTGACTGCAGTCTGAAGGCCAGCAGGCCTCCTGGGTGAGCCCTCTGTGAAGTAACAGAGGGTTCCTCACCCAGGAGACACCTCTCCCCCTTGGTTTAATCCTCTTCTCTTGCTGCCTTGACATTCATTTTTGAACAAGGGGACCCACATTTTCATTTTGCAGTGGATCCAGCAAGTTACATGCTGGTTCTGACTGCCAGAGGTTCCTGACTGTGATGGGGGTGAGGGATGGAGCAGGGAGCCCTGGGCCAGGAGAGAGTCAACCTGGGAGCCCTGTCTTGCTTCCATTCATTTTTTGAAATTCATTCGTTCATTTATGGGGTCAACACTTATTTATCCAATGCTGAGTCCTTTGCCAATATCTGTTCTGAGTGCTGGGGCTTCAGCTATGAAAGACTGTCCTCAAGGACCCAACATTCTAGCAGGGATGTGCTGAATAGACAAGTAGTTCTTGCAAAAGCACTGGGAAGCCGGAGAGCATCAAAGGTGAGACTTGGCTCTGCCTTCTAGGAAACACGGCCCAGCAGCCGTGACTGAGCAAGCAGCTCCTGGGAGCAGGGGTGTCTAGAGGGGAGGGGTGGATGAGCCTGGATTCTGCCAGGAAGGGTGAGAAGTTCCCAGAGATGGCAGCACCGGCCCAGCATCCGGTCTTTATACCTAGGAGTAGCAACTCCCCAGGCGACATGGGGCAGGGCAGACATTCCAGAGAGGGTGGAGCTTGTGCACAGAAATGAATGTGGGGGCGCCTGGGTGGCTCAGTCCTTAAGCGCCTGCCTTCGGCTCAGGTCATGATCCCAGGGTCCTGGGATCGAGCCCCGCATCAGGGTCCCTGCTCAGCGGGAAGCCTGCTTCTCCTTCTCCCACTCCCCCTGCTTGTGTTCCCTCTCTCACTGTGTCTTTCTCTGTCAAATAAATAAATAAAATCTTAAAACAAAATAAAAAAAGAAATGAATGTGAACGGCAGGGCACCTTAAGACTCTGCCTTTCAGCTGGGTTTCCCCAGACTCAAGCCAGGTGGATGCTCAGTAAATACACCAAGGAGTTAATGAACGCACACACGGATGGATGTTGCATGAAGGAGCAAGCAGGTGCGGGTCTCAGCGGACCAGCAGGTTATGGGACTCAGGGCTGCACCTGCCCCACTGTGCTCTATCCCCTTGCCTTGCTTCATTTCCCTCCCTAGCTCATTACCTGGGATGTGTATACATCTGTGGCCTGTCTCCTTCCCATAAGGAAAGCTCTACGAGAAGGACATTGCCTATCTTGTCCACAGCTTTATCTCCAGCATATACAACAGTGCTGACCAGCACATCACAGGTGCTCAATAAATATGTGTTGAATGTGTCCCCCCCAAAAGATATTGAAGTCCTAGCCCCCAATACCTGTGAATGTGACCTTACTTGGAAATGATCGAGTTGAGGTCATCAGGCTGGGCTCTAATCCAATATGACTGTGTCCTTATAAAAAGGGGAAATTGCAGACAGACACCTCTAAGAGAGGAGACGATGTGAAGACAGAGCGAGAGCTATCTACAAGCCAAGGAACACTAGAGACCACCAGATACTAGGAGACAGGCCTGGAACAGAAGTCTTGATCTTGAACTTCTAGTCTTGAGAATTTTTTTTAATTTTTTATTGTTATGTTAATCACCATATATTATTACATCATTAGTTTTTGAGGTAGTGTTCCATGATTCATTGTTTGTGCATAACACCCAGTGCTCCACTCAGAATGTGCCCTCTTTAATACCCATCACCAGGCTAACCCATCCCCCCACCCCCCCTCCCCTCTAGAACCCTCAGTTTGTTTTTCAGAGTCCATCATCTCTTATGGTTAATCTCCCCCTCTGACTTACTGCCCTTCATTCTTCCCCTCCTGCTATCTTCTTTTTCTTTTTTCTTAACATATGTTGCATTATTTGTTTCAGAGGTACAGGTCTGTGATTCAACAGTCTTGCACAATTCACAGCGCTCACCATAGCACATACCCTACCCAATGTCTATCACCCAGCCACCCCATCCCTCCCACCCCCAACCACTCCAGCAACCCTCAGTTTGTTTCCTGAGATTAAGAATTCCTCATATCAGTGAGGTCATATGATATATGTCTTTCTCTGATTGACTTATTTCACTCAGCATAACACCCTCCAGTTCCATCCACGTCGTTGCAAATGGCAAGATCTCATTCCTTTTGATGGCTGCATAATATTCCATTGTGTATATATACCACTTCTTCTTTATCCATTCATCTGTCAATGGACATCTTGGCTCTTTCCACAGTTTGGCTATTGTGGACATTGCTGCTATGAACATTGGGGTGCATCCTTCAGATCCCTACATTTGTATCTTTGTGGTAAATACCCAGTAGTGCAATTGTTGGATCATATGGTAGCTCTATTTTCAACTGTTTGAGGACCCTCCATACTGTTTTCCAGAGGGGTTGCACCAGCTTGCATTCCCACCAACAGTGTAGGAGGGTTCCCCTTTCTCTGCATCCCGGCCAACATCTGTTGTTTCCTGACTTGTTAATTTTAGCCATTCTGACTGGTGTGAGGTGGTATCTCATTGAGGTTTTGATTTGGATTTCCCTGATGCCGAGCGATGTTGAGCACTTTTTCATGTGTCTGTTGGCCATTTGGATGTCTTCTTTGGAAAAATATCTGTTCATGTCTTCTGCCCATTTCTTGATTGGATTATTTGTTCTTTGGGTGTTGAGTTTGATAAGTTCTTTATAGATTTTGGATACTAGCCCTTTATCTGATATGTCATTTGCAAATATTTTCTCCCATTCTGTCGGTTGTCTTTTGGTTTTGTGGACTGTTTCTTTTGCTGTGCAAAAGCTTTTTATCTTGATGAAATCCCAATAGTTCATTTTTGCCCTTGCTTCCCTTGCCTTTGGCGATGTTTCTAGGAAGAAGTTGCTGCGGCTGAGGTCGAAGAGGTTGCTGCCTGTGTTCTCCTTTAGGATTTTGATGGACTCCTGTCTCATGTTTAGGTCTTTCAACCATTTGGAGTCTATTTTTGTGTGTGGTGTAAGGAAATGGTCCAGTTTCATTCTTCTGCATGTGGCTGTCCAACTTTCCCAACACCATTTGTTGAAGAGACTGTCTTTTTTCCATTGGACATTCTTTCCTGCTTTGTCAAAGATGAGTTGACCATAGAGTTGAGGGTCCATTTCTGGGCTCTTTATTCTGTTCCATTGATCTATGTGTCTGTTTTTGTGCCAGTGCCATACTGTCTTGATGATGACAGCTTTGTAATACAGCTGGAAGTCCGGAATTGTGATGCTGCCAGCTTTGCTTTTCTTTTTCAACATTCCTCTGGCTATTCGGGGTCTCTTCTGATTCTATACAAATTTTAGGATTATTTGTTCCATTTCTTTGAAAAAAGTGGATGGTATTTTGATGGGGATTGCATTGAATGTGTAGATTGCTCTAGGTAGCGTTGACATCTTCACAATGTTTGTTCTTCCAATCCACGAGCATGGAACGTTTTTCCATTTCTTTGTGTCTTCTTCAATTTCTTTCATGAGTATTTTATAGTTTTCTGAGTACAGATCCTTTGCCTCTTTGGTTAAATTTATTCCTAGGTATCTTATGGTTTTGGGTGCAATTGTAAATGGGATCGACTCCTTGATTTGTCTCTCTTCTGTCTTGTTGTTGGTGTATAGGAATGCCACTGATTTCTGTGCATTGATTTTATATCCTGCTACTTTACCGAATTTCTGTATGAGTTCTAGCAGTTTTGGGGTGGAGTCTTTTGGGTTTTCCACATACAGTATCATATCATGGGCAAAGAGTGA